CAGATCCAGGACTAAAACCCATTTCATCCACAACTCTTCTATGTCTATTTGGAAATCAGTGTTTGAAAGCCCACCTACCACCATCAGTTTCTGGGGACACAGGAAGCGGTGGCTTGGGTGTGGCTTTGTCTTCAAGGGTTGGTGAGCATGAGCCTGTCCTGTGGAGTCAGAGTGGGAGGGGCCTAGTGGAAGGGGGTTGTGTAGTGGGGTCACGACTGCCTTTGGAATTTTGGTTTTTGGAGTGAATCCTAACAGAAGTAGGATGTTCCATGTTCCAAGGCAGGACTATCTTAAGAGCTTGGTCTCTTTTATATATGCCACTTGTTTTAAAACATTTTTTATATTCTCTCTCTCTCTCTCTCTCTCTCTCTCTCTCTCTCTCTCTCTCTCTCGTGTGTGTGTGTGTGTGTGTGTGTGTGTGTGTGTGTGTGTGTGTGTGTGTACACACACGTCTCTCTGGACCATGCATGGCACATGTATGGAGGCCAGAGGACAACCTATGAGAATCAGTTTTCTCCTTCCACTATGTGGGCTCTGGGTCTTGAACCTGGGCCGGCATTTTCCGCAGCAGGCTTCCTTACCTCCTGAGCTGTCTCTCGGCTCATTTTCTTTTCTTTTACTCTGCTAAGAGGCAACACATCTCGGGGCTCTTGCTAGGACAAGGTCATCCTCCAGTCACCAGAATTCTGTACCAAATAGGCCTCCTTGCTTTATAAAGCAACTGGGGGAAGGTATTTAGCTATACAACACAAAAATGGACCAGTACAATCCATTGTGCCAGTAATGGTTATAAAGCAATATTTCATAATTTCTTCACGTGTTAGCTAGAAGAGTCCCGTAAAGAATAACTTGATTAAGCACTGTTTGGTGGCTGAGTAAGTGCATCCGTGGTTGAGAGCTGGCTTAGCAGTACGAGGCCCTCCGATCTACCTACAGGATGTCACAAGCTAAAACAAAACCTGTCTACTTACCCGAGACAGTATATTAGCCAGCACGCTTGAATTCTTGATTCTGCTCTCTATTTATGCTTATAGAATAAGAAGTTGGTTGCCTAGCATTCTCCAATGGCGTTTAAGTGGCATATATTATTGAATACAATTGTGATTTCATGGATGCTTAACATATTCAATGTGTTAAATTCATTGACATTACTCATACCCCACCCCCCATTTTCTTGAGGTAAGGCCTTTCTACATCGCCCAGGCTAGCCTGGAACTCTAGATTTTCATGCTTTCATGCCCGAGTGCTGGACATTTGTGGGCCATCAGTCCTGGCTTGGAATCATTATCTTTCCTGCTTCTCTAGCTTTCCACATGCTTCGCCAGGGAAAGGCGAAGCTTTCTGGCAGGCTTCTGAGTGCTTGATCTGCCCAGGTTTGAAAGCTTGATGTGGTATTAACAAATGCCACAGTACATCTTGTGTGCTTCCCATCCTGGACCAGTAGCCATCAACTTCTTTAAATATCTGTAAATATTTTTTTTGCATAGAAGATTTATTTCTTTAAATATCTTTTAAAATGAGATTCAAAAATTATCAGCTGGTGGAAGGACAGCTCATTGCTGAAGAGTTGTTCATCATTTCTTCCTTCCTTCCTTCCTTCCTTCCTTCCTTCCTTCCTCCCTCCCTCCCTCCCTCCCTCCCTCCCTCCCTCCCTTCCTTCCTTCCTACCTTCCTTCCTTCTTTTCTCTCTCCCTCTCTTCCTTCTTTCCTTTTTCTGTGTGTGTGTGTGTGTGTGTGTGTGTGTGTGTGTGTGTGTGTGTGTGTGTGGTATGAGAGAGAGTTTGTATGCATGTGTGTTTGCATGTGTGCATGCGGAGGCCAGGCTCAATGTTAGATGTCTTTCTTTTTTCTCCTTTGGGACATGGTCTCTCAATGAACTCCTTGCCCACCAGTTGGCTAGCAAGTCTCCTAGCAAGCTATGGACATGCTCCTTGTCTCCACCCCACCGGGGCTAGGGCTGTAGACATGTGCAACCAAGCCTGGCTGTTATGTGAGTGCTGGGGACCCCCGCTCAGGTCCTCAGGCTAGCGTGGCTGGCCCCTCACCTGCTGAACCATCTCCCCACTTCTGCTGAGCATTTCCAGTCTTTTTCAGGGGGAGGAACTAATGACAATACTAAAGATTAAACATATCCTGAGTTCACACTAATATTGTGAATTTAGTTTTGCAGGCCTTTTATTTCTCATCGATTTTATAATCATCTTTTTTTTTTAACCTACAATCTTGTTTCTGAACAAGAGTAACAGTTATTTCCCCATTTTTATACTCCACGTTTCAGAATGGTAGATCAGTTCCTTGGTGACAGTATGATTTCTGAAAACAGCTTAAGAGTTTGTAAAGTTGTATTTTGTTCTTAAGATCTTCCTCATGGAGTATACAGTCAGATAACCATTTTGTATTTCAATTAGATTAATTCTTGAGCAATTAGACTTCCAGCTCATACAGTAAAGCTCATTTGTCTAGGTTTAACGTCAGTTCTTAGGAACTGATCCTTTCCATGTTAACATTTTATAATTATATAAGTCATTGGTACTGATATAATGACAGATCTGTACAGTACATTCTTATATTCAGAGACAGTCCAGCTTCTAGCCCTTTCCACTTGGTCCCTCTCTTGCTGTGGTAATCCAAAAAAGCAGTTTATCTTTCTGTTTCTTAAGGTAGACGCCAAGGCACACATGACTATTCGCATGCACACATGTACTGTTTATGCTTTGTTTCTCACCCCTTGTAGGTGACAGCATATTTGTATGCATATCTAGGGGGATATTAAGGATCAAACCCTGGGCCTCACACTTGCTAAGGACAGACTACTGCATAATTTTTCTGCTGTTTTTTCACGTAAAAGCCTAGAAATTGGTCTATAATTGTAAATAGAGGTCATCCTCACTATATAGCTCAGGTTGGCTTCACACACGTTAGTCCTCCTGCCTCAGCTTTCCTTGTGCTGAAATTACAGGCTTGCTTGACTTTAGTGTGGCATTTCAGTCCATGTATATAATGTGTAATGATCATGTTAGGGATCATATCCACCATCAGACCATGTTTATGGTGTACAATGAGACACCCATTACCTCAAATTCTCATTTCTTTGTGCTGAGAGCTTTATGAATCCTCTTTACTACTTATTAAAACATTCTATACTGTCATACCTTACTGTGATGCAGAATGCTAGAGTCTATTTCTTTACAAATCCTCTTTACTAGTTATTAAAGCATTCTATACCGTCATACCTTACTGTGTTGTAGAATGCTGGAGTCTATTACTTCTGCTCAAGAAAACCTGCTAACCATCCTCTTTATTCTCCATCCCCTACCACTTCCAGGCTCTGGTGGCCACTATTTTACCTGCTACATCTATATGGTTAGTATTTTGTCTGTTTTTTGCTTTTCAAGACAGGGTTTCTCCGTGTAGCTTTGGGTGTACTGGAACTTGCTCTGTCAACCAGACTGGCTTTGAACTTAGAGATCCACCTATCTCTGCCTTTTGAGTGCTGGGATTAAAGGCATGTACCACCACACCCAGGTTATGGTTACTCTTTTTATCTTTTACATATAAGTGAGAACATGCAGTATTAATCTTTTTGTGCTGGGTTATTTCACTGAGCATAGTTCCATCTATAAACAACAGGGTTTCAATTTTTTTAATAACCGAATGATATTCAACTGCACACATAAGCCACATTTTCTTTATTCATCTGTCTATCAATGGACAGCTAGGTAAGATCCATATCTTGGCTAACTGTGAAGAGTATTGCAATAAATGTAGGATATAGGTATGTTTTCAGCATACCAAGATTTCCTTTTCTTTGAATATATGCTCAGCAGTGGGTGGTGGGTCACATGGTCTGCTGTTTGCACTATAGTGGCTCTACTCAATACCCCCACCATCAGAGCTTTCTTTCTCCACATCCTCATAGCACTGGATCCCACCTGCCACCCGCCCTCATGATGTTACTTCCAGACAGAGCTGCTGTGCTTTGCTTTGTTTTTTTCTAAGAGGTCAGTCTGGATGCTTTGGTGGAGGGAGGGGATGGCTACAACAGGGAACAAGCTGAGCATTGCTGACCTCAGGTGATTGATTGTACATAGGGTTCACGATATTTTCTGATTCTGTTTGGAATATCCCACAGTCTGAGGTCCCATCACTGCTGCCTCAGGAGCCATGCCCTCCTCTGGGTCTAGAACTGCAATGTTTGGAGAAGAGCACATTTCTTGGAGATGAGGTACTCATGAAATCACAAACAGCTGTAAGTAGTGTTGCCTGGCCATGCCTGGGATAGCTCAGCTACAGTGAAGGCAACCACTTCTTCCTTATGGTGGGACATGACCTTCCAGCTGAGAGTGCTCCTAATAACCAGTTGTTCCATGGCAATGGAGGTCTGGAGGAAAGACAAAGGGTGTCCACTGGAGAGAGGATGGAGGAGACCCCTCCCCACACACCTCAGGCCACAATGGCTGGGCCACCTCTGAGTGGGATAGCCACCTGGGTAACTGCAAACTCCTAGAACAGAACAAAGTAAGAGAGACAGTTGGAGAGAATGTCATTGGGGTAGACACATTGATATTCTTTATAATTATTGTTTTATTACTTTTGTTCAGGTGTTTTGCCTACATGTATGTCTGTGCACCATGTGAGTTCCTGGTACTCACAGAGGCCAGGTGTTGGAACTGGACTTGTAGATAGTTGTGAGGTGTCATGTGGGAGCTGATAATTGCATCTGGGTTTTTTGGAAGAGCAGCCAGTGCTCTTAACTGCTGAGCCATCTCTCCAGCCCCCACATTAATTCCTATGATCTTTAAGTTGGTCAATCTTTTTAGTAGACTTGGGGAGCTCCCATAGCATTATCCTTCTTCATAGGAAGGCAGAAGAGGATGAGATTTCACCAAAATCCAGAACAGCCAGAACTCCCATGATTGCATGCAGCCAAGGTTCAGAAACTCTGAATGAAAGTCATTATGTCTATGAAGCAAACTACTCACAGGTGTAGGAAAGGCAGGTGTCATTCAGTCCATGTCCTGTTAACTGCTGTTGGTGTTCTTTGGTCTACTATGGTTATTTAGAAAAGGTGCAGCCACCTGTCTTGTAGGTCTGGTTGGGTATAATCCTGGTTCTATGAAATTGTGTTTCTCATGACTGGAGGAACAGAATTGGAAAGATTCCATTATAAAAGGCTTTTCTCTGAAGTATGCCTAAAGCATGAATCTAATTAATCTTAATAATAACAACCCAGAGTCAGATATTGGGGTAAAAGCTGAAAGATCAGAGAAGCAAAGGAGCAGCCACAGTCACCTCTTACCTCTCTGACTCCTCAGACCAAAAAGGCTGAGCTCCTGTCTCCACCCCACCTTATCACTTCCTCTCTGCCCAGCCATATCACTTTCTGTCTCCTGTTTGTAAAGACCTCCAGACCTCTATGGTTAACTAGTGGCTCTGATCTTCAGGCAAGCTTTATTTGTTAGAACACAAACAAAATATTTCAACATTTCCCCCCATTTGTCTAAAATAAAAAGAGAAGGTTATAACTAACATAGAAAAACTATATACAATAAGTATAATAACTATATACAAATATATGCAGTCAATAATTACATTAGCAATGTCTAGTCTATTAACATTTGACAAATTCAGAGAAAATACTCTATTACCTAGCCTATCTTGGTGAGTCCAAAGTGTTTTACCTAATTCACTTTCTATCCTAACTTGTATTACCAACCCCAAACTATCTTTTAATGTCTCTCAACCCTATACACTTTACACCTCTTTAGTGAGTTTCTTTTTTGAATTTGTTAACAAGGAAAACTATAATTATAACTATTTAGTCTTTAACTCCATCAGATACCCGAGAAGGAAATAATATTACCTGAGTAAGCATGAAATACAAACAAGTGACTTCCAAAAAACTTGAAAACTTACAGAAACAGCTGGCTGCCTTGACAATCACCCAAGGTTCCTCTGCAACATTGGGGTATCTGTATTTGGCCTACAGACCTAGAATATCTGACAGACTTTTCTGTGAAGCAGGGTATTCTGAAGGGCTGTCCTACCTTGTCTTGGCAAAGTTTGGCACTCACCTTCTTTTGTGTCCTGCTTGTCCAATTTGAACACCATACTGCCAGCAGTTGAGGAAAGAGCATTTCCTTGCCCAGTGGCTAACTTTTGCCACAAAGAAAGTAAAGTCCATAAGGAGTTTCTTCGATGCCCATCATCTTCTCTTAAATAGATTGGTGCTGCCAGGAACAAACATGTCTTATTGTCATAAAAAAAAAAGAATCTATATTATTAAAACATCTTAAATGTCATATTCTGCAGATCTCTGAAGTGTTTGAAGACTACTTGTCTACCTAAAATATATGTTTGGCCTTGAAAACATACCTAATATCACTACAAGTTTGATTGTAATAGGTGGCTAACTACTAACCTGAATTTCTTTATTATCCTAAATAGTGTGCAATAATAACTTTCAAGGACTAGGAATTTGCATTATATTGTTAAATGAGCTGTATAGGTATAATACATTGAACAAGAGTAGAAAGGTATATACAGTATGTTCTAAGAAAAATAACCTCAAATTTTTATCAGTATACAAAAGCCCAAGGCAATGTAAAATATTTAAAACTAGTAGTTGCTTTTTTGGTTTAAAAGTAGATTCAACAATGTACCTTTTTCCCTATCGTTTCTATAACATATATGTAGTATAACAAAAATAACTTCAATTTTGTATCAATATACAAAAATCCAAGCCAATGTAAAATATTTAAAACTAGTGTTTGTTTTTTTTGGTTTAAAAGTAGATTCAATAATCTACCCTTTTATCCTATCTTATCTATACCCCACCCCCCTTTTTTTTTTTTGGTTTTTCGAGACAAGGTTTCTCTGTGTTGCTTTGCGCCTTTCCTGGAACTTGCTTTGGAGATCAGGCTGGCCTCAAACTCAGAGATCTGCCTCCCAAGTGCTGGAATTAAAGGCGTGTGCCACCACCACCTGGCCTCCCCTTTTTTATTTTTAAACAAGAACCCTGGATCTAATCTCTATTGTTCAGCTTTTTTCCTGATCATTACCAATAACAACTTGTAACCAACCACCTTAAACAATGTTAAATATCCATAACCCACTCAATGACCAAAAACTACCCACCTCACCTTTTGGGAATGTGGGCATCATGTTCTTAAAATTACTTCCTACTGTCTGGGGGTGATGGTATTTTTGGGGTACCCTGAAAAAATTGGCATAATTATCAAGTCCTGGGAGAGCTAGCTGTATCATTTGTTGTCCAGTCTCTGTGCAATGATAAAATGCAGGGCTTATCTCAGGTCCTGCTAAAGTAGTCTGTGAGACTGGACTGTCTCAGCTATCCACTTTGAAATTGTCCTGAGCAGTTTGTAGTCCAAAGCTGATCTTTGGATATGCTTGTCAGCTTAATGGTATTATCATCATCTTTGTGGACTCATCATTGTGGAGTCTCATCCTCCTTTTGGAAACTTTAAAGGTCACTGTTAGGTATGGTCATGGTTCACTTCAGAAAATTTAAACATTTTAAATGTCATATACAGCAGATCTCAAATAAGTTAAAGGATCAATATTTGTTAGTACATCCAGAGTACAAAAATTTAATTCATATTTACCTGATAGAGACTCAAACTCAAAATCATGTACAGGAAGCTAGATGAAATCTTTTTCTAGAATTAGTTAGTACTCTATATGACCATTAATATCATGACAAAAAGTTCAATACAACTTTTGATATAAAATTTTTACCTTAAGAAAAGTATTAAAGAGTCAAAATAAAACCAAAGGATTATGAGATTAGTGGCAATAACATAGTCCCTAGATTTTGGTTTGATTTTTCTTCTGTCCCATATTAGATGGCTCTTCTAATATGAGACAGAGATTTTGGATTTCACTTTAAGAAGCATGCTTGGGTTTAGAGGAGGAGAGAGCTACACTCCAATTCCAAAGCTAGCTTTAATTTTCAATTGAACTGGAGCTACAAAAATACCATTTGTATTATATGTCTATAGAGAACAGCAGAAACAAACATTTGGGAAGATTTATGAAATTTTTACCTGTTGGAGATGTGACATACTAATAGGCCAATGTACTCTTTTTCTTGGGACACTTTCTGGATGATTTGTCCTTTTTCTTCACATTTGTCTGAAGATTCCTTAGCTAGATGCCTTCATTCTCCTGAAAAGACAAAAACAAAATCCTTCTCCAACCCTAATTTTTGGGAAGTTCCCTTTGGGAAAGTTATATCTGATCAAATGAAAAGCATTTGTTAGTTTTATAGGTTAGTTTAGGTTGAACAGCCCTGCTGTTTGATGAACTATCATCTCTTCTAATCAAGAGGTCTCTCTTGCTAAAATCTAATCTTTATCAAGTTTGATGATACACATAGCTTTTCTTCTCCTGTGGAAAGAAAAACAAAACCTCTCCCCAAAATAACATGTATTCTGGTTTCCATTCTGAGCTCAACATGTCTTTAAAGTATACAGGCTGATTTAATTCAGTAGTTTTTTCTATTATCTAATGTCTCACCAAAGCTGTTGTTCCTTTCTCATTAGCATTTAGAAAATTTAAAGTTAATAAAGCACTATGCAATCTATTTCTGGGGGGTATTTATTACTCCTTTTTATTAAGCATATCTTTTAGAGTTCAATTTGATCTTTCTATAACTGCTTGCCCTATAGGATTATGTGGTATACCTGTAGTATGATTTATATTGTAATATGCAAGAAATTGTTTCATTTTTCTAGAAACATATGCTGGAGCACTGTCAATCTTAATCTGTACAGGTATAACCATTATGGCCATAACTTCTAACAAATGTATGATTAAAGAAGCAGCCTTTTCAGAACTCAAAGCAGTTGCCCATTGAAATCCCGAATATGTATCTATGGTATTGTGTACCTATTTTAATTTTCCAAATTCTGCAAAATGAAACATATTCATCTGCCATAAATTTATTGCTGTGTTAACCACATATGGCTTTAATTTTCCTTTCTGTCATTCTGGCCCTATACATTTGACCCATCTCATGCTCTGTTTTACCTGAGATGATGTTCCAGTCCCTAAAACTGAACATTTACCTTTTTTTTTTTTTTTTTGGTTTTTCGAGACAGGGTTTCTCTGCATAGCTTTGCACCTTTCCTGGAGCTCACTTGGTAGCCCAGGCTGGCCTCGAACTCACAGAGATCTGCCTGCCTCTGCCTCCCGAGTGCTGGGATTAAAGGCGTGTGCCACCAACGCCCGGCTACATTTACTTCTTGAAGAGGCCAATTTGGATGCTTTATTGTTACATCTGCACCTGTGTCTACAAGACCTTAACTGACAATGTCCTTTATTTGTATTTTTAATTTGGTTTTTGATCATTTATGGAAGTTTGCCAAAATATTTGCTTTATGATTTCTCCTAAAACTTTTGTTTTATCTTCTATAGCTGTTCTATCATCTAGAGCAGTATGGTTTCTTACAAGAGGCATTGGGTCCTTTAATTGCTCTGGGAAGGAGTTTCCTCCATGGTGACAGGAAACAACTGAATGAAATATGACATGGGGACCTTTGAGAGGTCCCCCACAGGGCATTTCCCAATGGCAAAGGGTTATCTTGTCTGTCCCTTGTTGATCTATATTCATTGATCCAATGTCAGCCTTTGCCACATCTTCTGCATACTCCATAAAGGAGTGGCACTTTGTTTGGATTAGTCCTAGAAAAAACATTGTTTCTAGGAACACCCTGTCTACAATCCCTTTTTAGGTGACCTTGTTAGCCACAATGAAAACACCTAACATTTTGATTTTTCTTTAAGTCTCTGGAAATCACCTCTCCTATCCAAGCATCATTATGATTATGAGATTCAATATTGACTGTATCTTGGATCCATTCCTCTATGGGTGTTAATCTCGCTTTTAACAGCCTAATTACCCTTTTCATTGTGAATTAGCATTTTCAAAAGCCAGAGATTCAAATATTATTTGTGTAGCTTCTAAATTTGGTATTATTCTATTTACTGTTGACATCAATCTTTGTTAAAAAAAAATCAGTGAAGGTTTCTTTTGGGCCCTGTATAACTTTAGTAAATAACTCAGTTTTCTTTCTGACTTTTTCAATTCTGTCCCAAGCATTCAAAGCTGCTGCATGGCATAGAGACAGAGTATGACCATCATATAGAGACTATTTTTGTACATAAGCATGATTGCCTTCTCCAAGAAGTTGGTTTTGGGAGATTTCCAGACCTCTAGCCTTACTTCATTGCACAACCATTTTAGCCTCATCTTTCCACCAGGTCCTCCACTGTAATTGAGGACCAGGCTCCAAGACTGTTGTAACCAAGTCTCTCCAGTCTTGTGGGATAATTCTGTTACAAGTTGACCATGAGTTTAACATTTGCTTCACAAAAAGTGAATGCATACCATATGAGACTGTTGCTTCCTTAAATCTCCTCACATCTAACATTTCCACAGGAATCCCTTTAGCTCTTACACAGCTTTGGGGATACTCTGTCATTTGGCAGTTCCTGCAAGGTGACTGGATAAATTAAGTTTGGTTACTTGAAAACCTTGGTTTGTTCATCTCTAACCTTATAATGCAATGCTGAGATTGGTTCTATTTTAAATTTCTCTGTCTGAGTCTGATTATCTCTATGGTCTGTTTTAATAATTTTTTTTTTTAAAAAACTTGTATCTTGGCACTCATATTAACCAACTTTTCTAGAAATAAAATAAGAATGATCAAACTGATAATGTTTACAACTGACATTACATAAATCCCATCTAAGTTAATTATCCTCTCATTTTATTGTTCCATTTTTAAAACGTCCATTGTGTAATCATACAGAGACCTAACTTCCTCCATTGTAATAGTGTTTCTCATTTTTTAACGTGGGAAAAAACTCTCTCTCTCTGTCTTTTTTTTTTTTTTTAACTAATTCCCCCTTTAAAGAAATCCCAGTTGTCTCACCAAATAGGCTGAGGATGATGGTGAAGATGTGAGGCTGACTGCTACTGCATAGAACAGTAGAATACTGAGCAGGTTTTCAAGGCAGCTCCTTAGTTTGGCAGCAGCCCGAGGAAGGTGTCCAGGGAAAACCCACAACCCACTGGGAGAGGGAACCTGGCATCTGAAAAATGCACACAGGGGATTATGAGGAAGAAGCACACGCAGCAGAGGCTGCCTGAAGGTAGAGATGGCCGGTGATGGGGGGCGAACTCCGGCAGTGTTTGGAGCCCAAGTGCCTGTGGAGTTTGCCGCAGAGAGGCTTGGGGAAAAGAAAGGAACCTAGCCGGCAGGGCGGTGACTCCCGGCAGGAGTGCAGCTCCGGCTTTTGCCAATGGCTACAAAGCCACAGGCAAGAGGCTTTTTCATGAATTTGCGCTCCAAAAGTTGGACCCCACATGAAGCTCAAATCTAATTAATCAATAACAAAAACCCAGAGTCAAATATATATAGGGGTAAAAGCTGAAAGATCAGAGAAGTAAAGGAGCAGCCACAGTCACCTCTTACCTCTCCAGCTCCTCAGCCCGAAAAGTGCTGTCTCAGCCCCACCTTATCACTTCCTCCCTCGGCCCACTCATATCACTTCCTGTCTCCTGTCTGTACAGACTTCCAGACCGCTATGGTTAACAGTGGCTAGCTCCACCCTCTGATCTTCAGGCAAGCTTTATTTGTCAGAACACAAACGAAATATCACAACATATACCTGCCTAATCCAGGATAAACCGGGTGGGGTTTACTGGGGCTCAGCGTGTGCCCAGGTGGTGCGGTAGGAATCTGGGCCAGCAATGTACTTCCTTCTTCCTTTAGTGGAGGGCCGGTGGGCCTCCTTTACCCGGAACCCCGAGTAGGGGAAAGTCGTGATGTTTCAGTTCCTGTCAGGTAGCGTCTGGAAATTTGGTTGTAAGGTAGACTGGCTCTTTGGAAGTTCTCCTGGGTTGATGTGGGGCCTGGGCTTACTGAACTAGAAGGCAAAACGGAGGACAGTTTGTTTTCTTGGTCTCCTGAGTTATTAGGTTTAGTGACACAGAAGAGAAATAGCCCTGTGAGGGGCAAGAGTAATGGCCAGTTATAGCATGTGGTCTGGCTAAGCATGAGCCAGGAGGGCTGCCGGGACCATCATGAAGGGGTAGCATGCAAGAAGGGACGTGTTTTAGAGGAATTAGTAAGGCTGGGGCTGGAGAGATGTTTTGGTGGTTATTAGTGTTTGGAAGGAGTCTGGTGGAAGATCCACCTCAGCTCCCTTCCCATCTCTTTCCCTAAACCAGCCCCTTCAAAGTCTGCCAAACACAGCTGCTCCCCCAGAAAGGCTCAGGAGGACTCCCACAGGGGATATGTAAGCTGCATCCCAGGAAACATGCTCGTGGTTCTTCCAGTCTTGTTCTCTTCTCCTCTCTGCAGGGAATTACCCGGGAGCACTTTACCCATTAAACCTGGGAATTTCCTGATTCAGTCTAATTCGGTTTGTTGCTGCAACAGAGAGGCCTTCAGGAGGCCTAAAACTTATCAATGAGCACTTGCTGCTCTTGCAGAGGACTAGAGTTTGGTGCCCAGCACATACAGGGAAGAGTTCACAATTGCCTTTAACTCCAGCTCTAGGGGATCTAATGTCCTTTTCTGGTCTCTGTAGGCCCCCACACACATGTGTGTATGCACACACAAATGCATACACACACACACACACACACACACACACACACACACACACACATAATGCAATAAGACAAATCTTAAAAAATGTTAACTGTGGATTGTGGAGTTTGTTGTGATTATGGGATGTAGGTATAGCTGTGGGTAAATAGATGGTCAGACCTCTGATCAGAGAAGAGACCTGAGCTGGAGAGAGAAATTTGATACACCTAATCTCCCAGAGTGAGGTGCAAAGTAAGATAATCTGGGCTTGGACCCAAGGAGCCCAACATACACAGTGGCAAGGGATTGCCTCCACAGGCAGAAGAAAACCAGGACAGTTCTGGTGAGGACACCCTGGGACAAGGGTGACTTATCGAGAGCTAGTGATGGTGTTGAGTGCTATCAGAGGTCACAACGGCACAGACCAAGAGTGCCATTCTGATTTTCACAAGACAGTGGTTGGTCATCTTAGCAAGTGCTCTTTCTGGTGGTGACAGATGGATGTTTCTGTGTGGAGGATGCCAGACACACAGATATGACCACTTAACTAGATGTAAGCAAAAGCT